AATCAGGCAGGAGATTATACAGTACTAGTACCATTTGACTGTTTAAGCTTCTGTAATACACCTGATTTCCCCCCTGTTTTCAAATTTTCCATACATCATATACAAGCATGTCGAGCAAGGCCTTCTAAGCAAGTGGTGAATATCAATTGCATCATTGTGATGCAACTATAATACAGCCTCTCATAACCCTCTTTGTTCTATGAGATTATGCAACTTTCAAATAACATCAAAAAAGCCATAATCTTTCTAAAGTATCCCCAGTTGTATTTTCTTTTTTTCTTTTTTCTGAATGGGTTATACAACTTTCATAATTTCACTAGATATAAGTAGTTTTTAGCAGAAATTTTGTGAGTTTGATTGACCTCCATTTTGTTCTTTTACCATAATCATAAACTGAAAAGAGGCATACTAAGAGATGTTTTCTCAACGATCATGATAAGAGACAGAAAGCACTCCTTACCCTCTCCAGTGCCTTAACTCCCTCGCCATACTCTTGCTTCTGTAGTAAAGCAAGCCCCAATATATAGTTACCCTGTCACGCATAAAATTTTCAATGAACTATGCGGCAAGATGATGATTCTAGAAAAAAGGAAAATGGCCAGATGACAATGGGTTAATGTGCAAGACTCAGAGAAGTGTACAGGGAAACATACAAGATATGCAACATTAATATACAAACTTCCACCCATCCAATACTTGTTTAAAAGTGTTAAAGTACAGAATATCCACTTGCAAGCAGGCGAAAAATGAAAAGAAAGCACAGGTTCTCAGAAGTCAGAACATAATCTCAAATAGAAAAGTCAAGAGCACATAGCGCATAGAAGGAACCCGCTTTCAAGCTATCATCTACGTGAAAATTCATATTATGCATCTGGGTGCCAACAAAACTGGTATTAAACGTCTTTTGCCACTTGAATGTGGTCAAATTGTATAAATAGCATCTAACTCATAAACTGCTGGCTTGTTAGAAAAGGAAACAAACGGACAAAGTCCCCGTGCGTGTAATGTAGGCCAACGATTTCTGACCCGACCTCCATGCGTTAAAATGCTGACATTCAATTTATCACAATTCAACAATGAATACAACCCCCTGCAGCACCACGACAACATCTCGAGCCGATACACAAAAGGATATATCAATATACCAAAATATCACTCTTCCAAACATCTCACCGCTCTATTTTCATGTCACAGATAACATCGTAGAAACACATTTATAGAAAGAAAAAAAGAACAAAATCAAAACCAAAACATAAGAATTTTACCTTAACTGAGTTATGATCAAGCTGAATAGCTCTCCGAGAATCCTCTTCGACTTTCTTCCAATCACTGCATTACTCAAAACCCATTAATGAAATCCAACAAACAAAAAGGAAAACGAAATTTGAAACTAGAGAGAGGGGTGGATCATACATACTTACGCTTGAGATGGCAGAGAGCGCGATTCGTAAAATAAACAGGAACATTAGGGCACAGAGTGATTGCCTTCAAAACCCAAATGCCAAAAAACAACACCACAAAATCATCAATCACAAAGATCAAACCTTTACCATTTAAATTTTCCACAGGCAAAGTACACGAGGGCAACGAATTGCAGAAACAAAACAACAATACCTCAGTATACGCATCGATGGCGGCCGCGAATCGCTCTTTCTTGAAGTAGGTGTTGCCGTCCTTCTTGAGTTTCTCCGCCGTCGACGATGCGAGACTCGGCGCCATATCCGTCTTCTGCTTCCTCTACCCAAATTGATTGTTTCCTATGGTGTTTTCTGCGGATGCGGGCGTCCAAAAATAGACGTTTAAGCGGCAGAGATAGGAGGAGTAGGAAGTGGTGGGCGAAAGCGAAAGGGTGAGGGAAATAAAAGGGAAAGCGCGAAATGGAGGAGACCAAGACGATGAGCGAGGCAAAGGCAAACCCTCAAAAGGGGAGTCAGAGACGTTTCCCATTGCGGGGTTTGAGAATTGAGAGGACAAAGACTTGTGACATTTTTTCTTTTTCTTTTTTTAATAATAATGTTAAGGTGATAAAATTTAAAAATTAAATGATATGTTATGAATAGAAATGAATACGTTTATCAACGTTTAAATAATAAACTAATCACCAACTTTTATGTCTTTTAGTTTTCAAAATTTTATCCACAAATGTAGTCTTGCTAACATCACTTTTTTTAATTCTAGTTATACTGATTTTGTACATTACATTTGTAAATTTTGTGATATGTCACTATTAAAAAATAAATTCATTAATTGATATTTAAGTAATAATTTAATGAACTATATTAGCACTGTAATAATATAATTTTAAACAACTCACAAGCATATTATAAAAAATTTAAAATGCAAAAATGAAAACTTTAGACTGACAATATTAATTTCCTTAGAAAATTTGCTTTTGGATTTGGGCCTTCCCCTGTAAGTTCAATTTTAATTGGAAGTTGTCTCTTTTTGTTAATTTTGATTATTTATTTATTTAATCTATTTTGCTTTTGGATTTGGGACTTCCCCTGTAAGTTCAATTTTAATTGGAAGTTGTCCCTTTTTGTTAATTTTGATTATTTATTTAATCTATTTTTCATAGGTGAATTTTACTTTTTTTTTTTTTAACAATATTATCTACACTAAGAAGAAGAAAGTGAGCTTAGCCTCATAATGAATTAGCAATAATGTGATTTAATTTCGTTTTTAACGAAAGTCAAACCTAGACCTCTCACTTATAGTTTTAAAATTGCCAGAATAAAAAAAAGATTTGGGTTGGTGTGAATAGCCAAGTCTGGATCTTCATCGGCTCTTCTTTGCGAGGATCCTGGAGATCCGTAAATCGTGTCCGTACATTTTATATCGTGCTGTCAAAAGTCATTTTAAATTTTTTATTTAAAATTAAACATAAACAGTACTTGATAAAAACTGACCGTACAATATACGATGAACAAACATGATTCACCAATCTCCAGAATTCTCACCAAAAGAGTCCGAAGGAATCCTGTTGGTGAATGGCCAATGCCTTTACTCTTTCATAATTTATTTTTACCCAAAATTTTCAACACCTCTCTGGATTATAAAAGTCGGTCAATGGGATTGATCCCAAAAATAGGACGTCAATGTGAAATTGATTTATTGGTGGTTATTCATGGAACTGGATCCTCTCCTAAGCTCAGATGGTAATCCTCATGAGTAGCACATCCGGGTCGTTCAAACTTGATCCAACGGTTGCAATTATTATAATTTTAGAAAGACCACATGTTTGCAGCCGTTGGATCAAATTTCAACGGCCCAAATACGCTGCTCAAGAGAATCCTCATCCTGAGCTCAGGAGAGGATCCAATTCCGTTATTCACAACATTTAATTAAAAGAGATCTCAAATGCGAGTCAATTGTAGAGAATATTGCTCTAATAAACTTGACTAAGCCCAACTATATTTTGAATGTCATGGTTTTAATTGTGTCATTGTTGGGGCAATGTAAATGTGTCAATACTGTTTTTTTTTGTTAAATAATACCAAAAATAAACTCTTAACCACGTAAGTTACATGCTCTGAACAAATCTTTGTAAATATTGTTTCGTGGAAAACAAAACTACTTTTTCCCGAACCAAATTCCAACTTGGAAAGTTTTGACACTACACTTTCCTTCAATTTAATTTTGGATAATGCCTGCATTCCCCTTTTGGGGATGAACTCATTTTTTTTCCACTTGCAAATAACGTATCGTTACCATTGAAATTTCATAATCGAAATTGTTCGATGTCTTAATTTTCATTTAAAGATAAAAAAATTCATTTGAACTGGAGATCACTTTAACCATTTAAATGTATCAAATAAATCAACGGTTCATCATAAATATACTACTTGGTACTTACACCGTTAATTTATTTGATACATTTAGGAAACTAAACGATTTCTTATTCAAATGATTTTTTTGTGTGGATGATCTTCAAATGAAGATTAAGAGATTACATCGTTCTTATAATGAAAATTCTACGGCAAAGATGCGTTATGGAGGGAGAATGAGCTCGTCCCTCCAGGGGGAAAGTATTATCCTTTAGTTCTACCTTTCAACTTCCAATGAATAAAAGGAAGGGAAACACATGTAGTTTATGGTTTAATTGGAAGGCCAACAAGGGTGGATTGAGTTAGTAATGATCATTCTTTTTACTAGATCAAGACCTAAGTTCGTGTTTCATTGTCGGCAATCCTTCTTAGTGGGTAGTCTGTAAAAAACTAAAAAAGAGGGCTATGGCGCCCTCTGTGAGTTATCAAAGAGGCTGTGGTATGCCCTGATCCTAGAATGAAGCCCCAGTTTGGGGTTGAGGTGATTTTAAAAAAAGCTCCTATGAAAAAAAGCTGGGAGTGTTTTTGGTGTTTGGTAAACTTAAAAAAAATGGCTTATTTTGGAAGTTGCTGTGAGAATAAGCTGAAATCAAAGGAAAAAGCTGAAGCTGCAATTTGTAGCTTTGGAAAACTGGCTTTTTTTCAAAGCACACATAACTACAGTGCTCCTTTAATGAAAAGACCCACTATCAGACTGCTTTTTTTTCCAAAAGCACTTTTACAAAAAAATTTACCAAACACTCTGCTGATTTATTTCACAGCCGCTTATTCTCACAGCACAGCCGCTTATTCTCACAGCAGCTTTTTTTCAAAGCACAGCAATACCAAACCAGCCCGAAGAAGGATCCCTCCCCCAACTTTTTGTTACAAAAAAAAAAAAAAAAAAAAAAAAAAAAAGCAGAAGATATATTTGGCGAAACGCCCTAAAATAATATAGTTTTTATCCATTGTTAAAATTCAATATCTTCTTAAAAAAAAATCGTATTCCTAATATCGCTTATTTAACAAGTAGTACTATACTATAGTGATATTTATCTTCATTTGTAAATAAGATGTCTCATATCGAACTCACATAGATGACAATGGCGTATTATATTTGTGTTGAGTTCAATACTTAGTTAATGACTATTCCAAAATGGGCCCAATCTAGAGTATCGTTTGTATAAAAGAAAATATCACCAACAAAAAAATATCACGTCTCTACTTACTCGATTGTACACAAAAATCTCAAATCTTTGTATTAAGGAATAATTAATGCAAGTAAAACACAATTTAATGCATACTAATAGACACATCAAAACACAATTTAATGCATACTAATAGACACATCACAATGTTAATGCACAAGAAAATGGATTAGAAGAACCTGGAAATGCGGTTGAGGTAAATGTTAGACATTCTGCCTTTAACACAAGTTTATGCTCTCATAGTTGATCGGTGCTCGTCTCCTAGAATACAATGACCACATTCTTATAATAATAGCAATCCAAATCACAAGTTTCTAATGAACTACAACTGTATTGAAAACTCTCTCATATACTCATAGACTCAATGAGTCTCTCTAATATTTATTGCATTCTATTCAATGTTTGGAAAGACACATTCCACTAAAACGTACTACTAAGTTTCATTCAATTAATAAAGTCCGAAAGATGCACCATCCTCTCTTTCATACGGAAAGATGCATTGGCTTGTAGGTTGGAGTAAGCCGAAACCATCACATCCTCTCTCACACTTCTTCTGGGATCTAAAGTTCATCCCAGAGCTTCTTGCACCAGAGGAAGTTCGCATACTACTAGAACCCTGATTCGCCTAGAAAGTTATGGCAATTTGATTGAAGGTGGAAAATCAGGTCCATGGAGAATTTTTGAAGTTTGATTGGAGCACCAAGATCACCTTTGGTGCGGGACTTGTATGAGTGACGTAGAAGCAAGTTTCACAAGAGGAAGGATTTAAGTTTGCCGTATCGTTATGCAACTCTAGTTGTTAATTAATTGAGATTACGCTTCCACATACTAAACGTTTAGAAGAACTAAAGTATGTATATCGCACATAATTGTACACTGAAAATTACATCGTGATCGGATGAAATATGCACCTAGTTTTCGGTAAGGCTAGATCCTTCACCTTTGCTGTTTCTGGAGTTTTCTGATAATGACAATTGCTCTCGAACAAGATCTGCAAGTCGAGATGCTTCCCGATCTACGTTCAGGGGCCACCTCCGCAAACCCTATGGAGTTCATTTATACATATATCAAGCTTATATCCTCAAGACTCTACAATTTTCACATATAAAGAGGCAAAAATGTGAATGGTACATACCTCAGAAGCCCAGAGGCTATCAAGGGCCTTGCGCGGTATTATGTGAATATGAGTCTGAAATTGCCATGTTACATAGCAAGATTAGCAAAAGCTTATCACATTCCTCAAGTTAAACAACGTGGATCGGATGAGATATGCATCTAGTTCGCCTTGCTCAGTCGCAATACGATTTACAGATTTTCAATGGAGGATGCATCATTTCAATTGTATCTGCTGCTGTAAAGTATAAGCTTAACCAAAAGAAAATCAAAAGGGAAATTACGATGACTCACATGAAATATAACTTGGCCTGCAGCTGTGCCGTTGTTAACTAACAAGTTGAACGAATCTGCATTAAGTGTGTAACATAGCAAAGCTTAGGTAGGTATGACCGAATATGTGCAATTGAAAACAAGGATGTCAATGAAAATATCATTGAAGTATAAGGGCCATTTCAGCACATCCTAATTGCTAATTGAGTACTTAACCTGAGAACAACAAAATGAAAATGCAATATGGTGACACCGGAAAATGACTTTGAAGACATACCAGAACCAGTGGCTTTCATGATTGCGCTGCTGATAAAGGGCACTTTTGAACACATTGCAGCTACCACCTGCAGAGCAAGTTCATTCGGACTCATGAAACATTACAACGTCACACAACAAATAAAGAAGCGCATGCATATTATTTGCAGAAAAAAACTACAGTATAAGCAAGCAACTTATCGGAGATACGTAGAGAAAATTACAGTCCAACCAATCAATAATGTGCTCACCGACCTGTTGCTTATGAATCCTAATGATTGAGAATACCCTTCTACCACTTCTATCTTTTACACATACTCAAAGTTGCCATATACGCATCGAGAAATTCATCCCATCATTTCATCTAATACATAACATATGAAAGTGAGACATACTTACATCCGGAGGTGTGGCTTTCAACGAAGAAAAATGCGATTTGGGGATAACCAGAGAATGCCTGCGCAAGCAAAAGTACGGAACTTTAGCAAGTGGAAACGAAAACATAGTTAAAAGAAATTCATATAAAGATGATATAGTTGCAATTCTTTCTCACTTTTATGCACTGTTTACTTACAATACAATGGAAATGTTGGCAAAATTGACACAAACACTTGCATTTCTACTGTACAGAATTAAAAGCATCCATTAATATTGCCCTGCTGATCTATAAATGGTAGAGAAACGTTAATGAGACTCTCTAAAAGTATGACTCACTGTGGACTCTTCGCCCCTCGTGTTTTTGGCACAATATTTTGTGATATTGACACAAAAATTGTGCCAAAAACATGAGGCTTCCGAGACCGTACACCCAAGTTCGAATCGAACTCCCCGTAAATTAAAGCAATTTAGAATATCGTCTTGTAAAACAAATGGAATGAACTCATTCAAATTTACCATAACAGCACAAAGAAAAAGAGAAAAGCTAGAAATTGAGAAAATAATAATTGAAAAATTAAATATTGGATTAATGATACCTTACCCACGACTCAGCGGATTCGTATCCAATATGCACAAGCAAACATCATCTTCGTAGAGCTGCAAAGTACAGAATTTCACAAATAATTAAATGGAATACTCATAAATAATTAAATAAAATGCAGTTTAACTAGAAAAATAGAAACCTTAAAAGCCGGTGACTCGCCGCGAATAATTTTACAGAAAACGCAGCCGTTTTGGCTATTCCCCTCGTCGGAGCCACTGGGCCACTGCTTACTGTTCAAACAGGAATGGCAATTGGACCTAGCAACGGGAGCTAATCGGGTCGTAGCCGGAATCAAACCGGGTAGGATATGGGAGCAGATCATGGCGAGCCTTCGGGCCTCCATTTTTCAAGCAGAAGCAGAGCTAGTTTGCGCTCGCCATGTTTGCGAAACGTTTGGGAAACCGGGAAGACAGAGAAACCAAAATAATATATATTTTTTTAAATAAATTGAAGGGGTCATGTTTGTCGCTTATCCCCAAGAGTCAACATTTCCGACCTTGACATTTGTTTAAAATCGGTTGAAACTAGTGGTGATATATTCAAACTCAAGCTAATAAAATTGAAATTAGTTTCTTTTATGAGAAATTATATTTTTGTTTTTGTTTTTCTATTGGGAAATTGTAATTTAGCTAGATTTTTTATACAATAATATTCTAGTCTACAGGAGATTTGGCAATATTATACAATAGAGTTGTCATTAAATAATAAGGTATCGAACTTAACACAATGTTGAAAATTTGATAACATCATCTATGCTGCACAAATTAAAAGAGTTAGCGGCTAGGGAAGGGGTGGCTTTGGCGGTAGAAAAGGGGATTCACAACCTCATTTTAGAGAGTGATTCATTGCATAAGACCATGACATCCACTTGCCTCCAATTGGACACAAGTGGAGGATGTGAAGGTCTTACTGCTACAGATCACTTAAGCTTCTTTTGCCCATGGGAGTCGTCGATTAAACAGTTGGTCATCGCTTAACAAGCGTTGCAGTCCATGGGAAGTAGATCTGTAAACGGATCAGATTTATTGAGTTTGGGTTGGATTCAACCCGACCCGTTAATTTAACGGGTCATAAGGGTCATCCGAACCCAACCTGTTAATACACAGAGACATTACCTGGTCAACAAAATGGCAGCATCAGCGACGGGGGCAGCTGAGAAATCAAGCTCCAAAGGCCAAGCATGGTGAGTTCAATGGTCAAATTCAATTTAAAAACCTCACCTTTTCGATTTTTCTGCCGGAGACCCATTTGAAAACAATGCACCAATTCGCCAAAACTCGCTTCAAAATCTCGTCTTTGCAAATTCTGCACCACTGGATTACAAAGCAACATTGTCATCGAAGTCGACGACATTACCTTCCATCTTCACAAGGTCATTTCATCAAACACCTAGAGAGCACATTCTGCATTTCATCTCCTTTCCCCACCAAAAACTTCTCAGAGACAGAGTGAGGGTTTCATTATTGACTATTGAAATTACACAAAAACCCTCAATAACAGGTGTTAACGAGTTTCGCTGGTTCACCCAAAATGACCCGTTAAACACTCATCCAAATACTCATTTTAAAGGGTCAGATCGGATTAACGGGTTGGGTTTGAAATGCCAGGTCTAATAAGAATCATACTCGGTCGTGGTTTGAGGAACCACTAGAAGTGATTGGTCTGTTGGATGATTCTTTGGGGTAGGGAGGTAGCTTTGGTTGCGCCTGTTGTAACTCCCATCCCTTTGTCTTGTGGTTATATGCCTAATTGAATAAAATTCCATCGTTGTTCCAAAACAAAAATATATAACTTAACACAAATATACTAGATTCTCGTAATTCATGTGAATCAAACCTGATATTTTTGAAGAGTACTACCAAAAAAATGTGATATTACTCAGATCAAGCATGTAAAATCATGTGTATTTAAAATTTTGGATAAATAGAAAGACCAAAAAAACAAATAAAAATAAACTTTAGGTTGGGTTTAGTACTGAGGATGGGTATGAGTGTCCATATTTTGAACCAGAAAAGACCCATAAGACATGGATCCCAAAGTTTGAAGCTCAAACCAAACCTAAGACCGAAGCAGAAAACCCCATCAGCAAACAAAATTCACTTCACCTATTTATTATGTAGTGTGTTTGGCTCAACACACTATCAACTTCCAACTGCATTCCCCACTTGAGGTCATTGCCCACACAAAAACTTCCATTTCATGGCACCATAACATTGTTACGTGTCATGGTATAATATGTTTTAGTTCTGAAATATCTTATAGATCTAAAGTTTTGGTTATTAAACCATCGATTAAAGACCTAATGATCAAGATATAAAGGTCAAACACAACATCAACAACATTTATGATACAAATTATTGTAAAATTTTTATTTACGAATAATATTGTTGAATTTTAAATTTACTATTTGTCTCGTCAATCGCCACTATCATATTATAAAATAATTCAATACCACACGATAATTTTTGCGTAATTATGCTATATGACCTAACGTCTCCCAACGAACTAATGAGAACTTTCGTTTTAAGATATGGTAATAGTCAAGTAAGCGCAATAAATAAATTTCTCCGCTCACCGCCGGATTTGAACCAAAACATTCCCTGCACCGCACGCCTTCTAGAATCAAGTGATCTCACGTAAGCACGTGAATCACATTCACTTTCCCCCATTTTCTTGCTCTCCCAATTAACAACCAAATTAAAAATTAAAAACCTCCCAAACCATGGAATCAGTGATGACGTCGTTCTCTGCAACAACCAGGAAAATTGCCTGCGCTTCGAACCACCGCATGATCACGCCACGTCAGCACACACCAGCCACGTGGCCGCACCACTCACACCAACAATGGAAGAGGATATGGTCCGGATCGCTTTCATCAAAGATCTGGAGTCAAGTGATCCGGATCATTGAATTTTGATTCAACGGTTAAAAATATTTGATTTTATAAAAATTATAATAATTGTAACCGTCGAATTAAAATTCAACGATTTAGATCACTTGATCTTGCCCCTTTAATGGGAGAGATCCAGACCGGATCCTCTTCCACCAACAACAGCATGCAATGTATGGGCCCCACCTTTTGAATTGAACCCTTCCTCACTAAGACTTGTATAAATTTCGGCATCTGGCTCTCTGCACAGCTGCCAAAGGAAACAGAGCTTTCAAGCATGGACGATCAGAACGACGGCGTCGCGGTTCCCAGCTTGGATTTCCGGCGGCTGAGTGTGATCTCGGCGCTGGGCAGAGGAGCCAAGGGCGTGGTGTTTCTGGTGAAGGGAGAAGAGACGGCGGCGGAGGGGCTAATGGCCTTGAAGGTGATTTCCAAGGACTTAATCGAGCGGAGGAGTAAAGATCCGAAGAGCGACGGCAGCGAGTACCGCAGAGTTAGCTTCGAGCAGCAAGTAATACGTCGTTTCGAGCACCCGCTCTTGCCTAAATTGCATGGCGTTCTCGACACTGAGAAGTTCGTCGGCTACGCCATTGAATACTGCCCCGGGCGCGATCTCAATTGCCTCAGGAAACGACAAACCGAGCGGATGTTCTCCGATGAGGTCATCAGGTAAATTAAATGTCAAAATCTCTCAAGTTAAGGTATTAAATTCTGTTTGGCTGCTCAGAAAATTAAATTCTGATTTTCTTTTTGGTTTTTCAGATTTTACGCGGCGGAATTGGTTCTGGTATTGGATTATTTGCACGGATTAGGAGTTGTTTACAGAGATTTGAAGCCGGAGAACATCATGATCCAAGAAAATGGTCACATTATGCTCGTGGATTTCGATCTCTCCACCGAGCTTTCTCCCGTAAAGACTTCTCCTCGATCACCTCAATCGGCTCCGATCAGATCAAATTCAGTAGCGAAATCGAACCCGGTGCACAAGAAGAGGCGCTCGCCGTTCCACCGCTTCTGTAACTCGGGGATTTCGCCCGACGACACGGTGGCGCTGCCTGAAGCTGGCGTCGTCAACTTGGAAAACTCCGAGAAGTCCAACTCGTTCGTTGGGACGGAGGAGTACGTGGCGCCCGAAATCGTATCGGGCCAGGGACACGATTTCGGCGTCGATTGGTGGTCCCTCGGGATTCTTCTTTACGAAATGCTGTACGGTACCACGCCGTTCAAGGGGATCAACAGAAAGGAGACGTTTTATCGGATACTGACAAAAACTCCAGAACTGACGGGCGAAACGACGGCGTTGAGGGACCTGATAAAAAAGTTGCTTGAGAAGGATCCGAAGCAGAGAATCGGGTCGGGCGAAATCAAGGGCCACGATTTCTTTAAAGCGGTGGAGTGGGATTCGGTTTTGGGACTGTTGAGGCCGCCGTACATCCCCGTTATTGCAACGGCGGAGGGTACGGAGGGAATAGAAAAGAAAATAGATGTGGAGACGGTGGTGAAGGGAATATTCGGAGGAGAAGGTGGTGGTGGTGGTGGGGACGAAGAGGATAAAGGCGAGGATAACGAGGAGAATAACAAAAATAGGAATAATAATAATGAGAAGGGAGGGAATGAGGAGGAGAAAGTAAATAAAAGGGTGTGGGTGGAAGGATTGAATAACAATCCCACCCAAGGTGGCGATGCATTTTTGGTTTTCTAACTATTCTTTTATTTCTTTATTTCTGTATTTAGATACTGTAATTAAGTTACCTAAACCTTAATTTAACGAATAATTATTTGATATTTCCCCAGTTATATTTGTTTTGGTACAATGGGTTTTTGGTAGGATATCATAAGACTCTAAAAAGTATTACAAACTATAGATTAAACATACCACTTAGTACAATGGTATAGTATTAGAGTGAGAATTCTTAGATTCGATTTTCGCCAAAACTGAATTTGGACCACGTTCTTACTAGGCTTAGGTCACCCCCATCATTTTGTGTGGATAATATTGTTTGTTTAAAACAATAATAATAATAACCATAAGATAGGGCCTTATCAAATAAACTGTTCTCGTATTGATAGAGTACTCGGAAGATAGCCAAGTATTACAAAAAATAGTCTAACCATTAGATTAGGCCTCTCGCGGAAATAAAGTAATCATACGAGTATTACAAAAAGTAATTTAACCATAAGATTAGAGCTTATCAGATAAACGGTGCTCGTGATGAAAACTTACCGTGCACCTTCTTCTTCCTCGTATTTGCACTCTGTCTATGATTTATATAAGGTTTGACTCAGCAGGTATCTCACTCAGATAACATTGAGCTTAATGAGGTTTGATTCATTTTCAATCTTCCTGCGTTTGACAGACCTTTAAAGAATTGAAGTAACCAACTGCTGCAATAATGAAAGTTTGAAGAGAAGAGACAATTGTTTTGGTATAGGGAATCTTTGGATGACCCCGAAATCAAAGATACCGCAGTTTTTGTTTCTAATAATCTTGTTGTTGAAAGACCGCAGCCCAACATATGGTTGTAAACTGTTCAAA